AATCTATGAAGACACATAAGATAATGATTTAAAAAGGAATAATTTAAAAAGATGAATTAAAAAGTCGAATCAGAAAAGAAGGCCAGCATAAACTAGGGAAAAACATGCTGTGAATAAAGTCTGTTAGATCTTGAAATAGGAGAACTGCTAAATAATGCATAGTTTTATTTTTCTATCATTTGCATAAACCTTAAGAGAGTATTTATTTGTGTAAAACTTGATGTATCGAGTAAGGAGAATGAAAAAAATGGCATTCATTTTGTTTTCATTTTGGTATTTAGGAAAAATATTCTGTTACATATGGACTACTTAGACCTAATCATCTGACTGAATGTGCTGTGTGCCTTGAGCCAGGTTGGAAAGGGCTGGCTGCAGAACAGTGCCCTGGTCTTGCTGCAGGCGATGCAGGTTGGCCCATGCTCTGCTGGGGAGCAGATGGTGAGCCAATGCTTGTAGTCACACTTACCTTCCTTGCTAAATCCATAATCCCTCACTGGACACGGAGCCAAGGCAGGCTTTGGAGGCAGAAAGGAGGTTACAATCTGGACTTGGGTAGTGACTGCCAGAACTGAGAAAACAGCTCAGAAATTTCAAATGCTTAACAAGTTATCTGTCTTGTCCCTAAGCCAGTGCAGCATTTTTAAAAGTAATTAAGACATGATTGAAAATGTGTATGCCATCTAAATACAAAAATCTTCAAAAATCACCAAAACCAATCATTAAAATCCACATTTAATATGACATTATGTAAAAAATATATTTAAAATAAAATATATTTTTGTGATTGAATGAAAATATGTAAAGTAAGAAAAAAAAGGAAGCATTTATTTTTTTAGGAAAAGGCACGTTTTTCTTTACAAACCTGGACCTTATAGAAGGAAAATATTTCATACATGTCTATAAATATGCTGCATGTATGAAATATTTTCCTTCTATAAGGAAATAGATAGCTATGCAACATTATATCTATACTAACAGATTCTTCTATATGTTATTCTTTCAAAATATTAAATGAATTGTAGTTGATTTTTCTATATAGTATACTTATGGATGTATATGTATGTTTTTATATGTGTGAATGGAGTTCATCATCAACACAGACATTATAAATCAGAAAGACAAAATAAAAATATTGAGTGGGTAGCCAAATTCTAATCACTGATAATAAAAGGGATAGTAAGTGCCATCTGTTTCATGTAAAAAAAAAAAAAAAAGAAAGAAACCAACTGATAAAATGCATACATATCTAGTAAATTAAAATCATGGAGTAATTCATATAAAACAAAATATGTATAAAATGTCAACATATTCCATTAGGGTGTGATTGACTTAAACATGTACTATCTACATAATATGATATGAGAAATAGCAAAATCTTCTGATTATGGTTTATGCTATACCACAAATATTTTTTAAAATATGTTTTTCTATTAAGTGGGGGTAACAAAATTTCTTAGTTTTCTCCACTGAATTTTTATGATTCCTCATTCTCGCAAGCAACACTTTTTCTTTCAAATGATTCTTAGGCATACTTTCACTGAAGTTCATTGACTTGAGGGAATTTCTTGTAACCTTCTTTAGTCCATCTTGTAACATCTACATTTCTCAAACTGACAAAATGCTACCAATACCCTATTTGTTTATATAAATAACTTGATCTCTCCAGTCTAGGACTATCATCAACTCCTTTCACAATTCTCCCTTTTTGCTATTGCCTCTTTTTTGAAAAGTATTGTCACTCTTACTTACGCTTAGGAAAATTTTCTTAATTTCTTCTCTTCGTAACTCTTCTTCATATTTCAGTTCCTGCCAGTGTCTTCATTCCTCAATATGTCCTTTTCTGGTAATACTGTTTTCTTCCAAAATTGATGCAAAGAAATAAAGAAAAATGCAGAAGCTTCTTTCTCTGCCTCACTCAAAAATTCAAGAAATGTGCATTAATAGGAGATGTGTGTGGGTCAGTATTTATAAAAGGAGATATAAGAACAAAAATATTTATCATAATACATTTAGGAAATATGCTTAGATTTTATTCACACAATAATGTGCCTGTTGGTTTTAACTTTTATTTTAATTTAGTTTACATTAGGAAACAAAACCCTCAACTATAATGATATTTACAGAAAGCAATGTTTTTATCATTTTGGTAGGAAAATTTTACTATAGGATGACATCATAAAGTAGTTTATCATTTCATTCCCAAACCCAAAATAAGGAACTACTTTATGATATTTACAGATACCTTTTTTTTTCTTTTAAAAAGTGTTAATAACATAGAGTTTCAAAAAGGCTTGGAAAGATCGAGTTAATGTGATTTCTGTTCTCAGGTGAGAACAGAAAGGGAGAAAATTTTAATGGTTGCTTTTGACAATGCAAGTTTCCTATAAAATCACATTTCAGAAGGCCAGGCATGGTGGCTCACTCCTGTAATCCCAGCACTTTGGGAGACTATGGTGGGAGGACTGCTTGAGGCCGGGAGTTAAGAACCAGCCTGATCAAAATACGAAGGCCCCGTCTCTACAAGGAATTAAAAAAAAAAAGTTGACACATTGTGGTGGTGGTTGTCTGTAGTCTCAAGCTACTTGGGAGGCTGAGGAGGGAGGATTGCTTCAGCCCAGGAGTTTGAGGTTGCAGAGAGCTATGATTGTGCCACTGGATTCAAGCCTGGGTAATAGAGCAAGACTCTGTCTCTAAAAAATAAAAATAAAAAATAATTTGAAAATCACATTTTTCTTAATATTCTTTTGTTAATGTTTCTCTTGCACTTGGAATGTGTGCCTACTCTGAAAAATTTTGCTGCAACATTTTATGGAGATAAAATATATAATTGCTTCATAGGGGAGTTCAATTCTTCAGTATATTACTAAAATATGTATATTCTTGTTCTCTCACTTGTTGAAAGAGGTGCTTTATGTTTTCTATCTATGTAGATGAATTTCTTCTTTTCTTTCAACTTCTGCTTTACATGTTTTGAACCTATAGATGTCTATTTATTTAGGATTGTTATATTTTGCCATTGAATTCATCCCTTTTTCTTCCTCTTCATTTTTTCTTTTCCCTGAGATAGGATCTTGCTCTATTACCCAAGCTGGAGTACAGTGTTACAGTCACAGCTCAAAAGATTATTCAACAGATTATTCTAGGACATTGTAGGTATCAACAACTTTAAAGCAACAAGTCAATGTGATGTAAATTTTAGTAAAGGATAATATGGTGTTTAATATAAGACGTATCTCCTCTATCCAAGAGTTTTAAGCAAAGACATTGGACTTGAAAACAGGAAACCCGAGTTTGCATTCCAGCTCCACCTCTGGCAGACTACAGAAATATAAGAAGTATTTATATCTCTGGACATTGGTTTCCTCACCCGTATAATTATAACATTTTTCTAATGATTTCTAGTATTTTGATCACCTACAAAACAGTACCTGGCTATGTGAAGGTGGAAGAGTTAAGTACCAATAAATAGCACAGTATAGTTTTATCTCCAAGCAACACATGATTACCGAATAAGAGAATCAGGCAATTCTTGAAAATAGGTAAACATTTATATGGATTTCTAATGTTTTATGTTCTAAATTTTTATTGTATAATGTTTAATATATAAATTGAAACACACTTTGGCCACTTTAGTTGAGACATTAACAGTGGGAAATGTCTCTTTGTAGATCTCCAAACAAAATTATGTAACATCCTCCATGTCTCAGAATATTATCACCAGAAATGCCACTGGCACGTTCCATGCATGAGTTCAACATTTTTAGGGAATCTGAGGTCCCAGGATCGCAGAGAGAGGAGCTATATCTAAAGACACTAGGGAGAAAGTGAGTAGCAGAAGTGAGCTCCACAAGCAAAAATTATGTACTCAAGATTGAATTAGAAATCCAATTCATCAGAATCCTTGGAGCTGGCTTCTGATCTCTAGCTGAGTCTTCAGCACTTTGATATGTCACCTATTAGCCACCAGAGAGGCATGTGTCAATTCTCGTGTAGTATATAAAGTCTCCAATAATTATTATCTTAACCATCAACATTATTATAAACATTGTTAAATAAGAGACACCTCTGTATTTCCATAAAAGGGAAGAGCACTCTTATGGCAAAGGACCTATTAAAGAATTGGAAATGTCTAAGTTGTCAGAAGTTACATCTTTTGGATTAAGTATAAAGCAGAGATCTTGATGTTAATGGTAACAGAAGATTCTGTGTTGCCATCTGTCAGGAATTATTTACCAGTTTGTGCTGACCAAATTCCAAATTAAGGAGCTCCATTTACTGGCTCAAACTTACCCTCTGTCGTAATTAAAAATAGTGTCCATCTTTACTATTTATGACCTATTATAAGATACATGGACTTTGATGGACTTTGAGATTTTTTTTAACAGATTCTACTTCCTCTTCTTTAGTTCAGGTTCTCATCATTTATTGACTGAATTTCTACCACAGGTTCATAAACAATATTCACATCAGATTTCTTGACCCACTCTAAGCCATTCTCCTGGGGCTGGCTGCCAGAGAGATTATTCCAAGATGCAAATTGTTTTTCTGGTTGTTCAATGTTAATAATTTCTCTATGAATCCCAATAGCCTTTAGAAAAAACAGTTCAAACTCATCACTATAACTTTCTAAGTTGTCCGTGATCTGGCTAATGCTTATCTGTCTTGCGTTACCATGCCAAACTGAAGTTCTATCCATCCTGGAAAACTTCCTACAAGTTATCAAACTTTAAGTTGGTTTCTCAGGCGTTTTTCACAACGAATGCTGTTTTCTACCTAACCACATTTCCTAATTTTTCCTCCAAAAGGCCATTCTTAATCACTTTCCTCAGCACCGAAGTCTGGGTGGATGTGTCCTTCTTATGTGTTCCTACAATACCATGAATTACCACAATTATATATCAGGGTATTGTCTGTTTCCCTGTGTCTCCCATTAGAATATGAACTTTAAGTTCAGGGGCCAGGTGATATTACTTTTTGTACTTCCAAGGCCCAGGCTATTTTGTGGCAAAATGCAGTATTTGGCACAGTTGAGCATTGTCCTAAAATACCTTCTTCTCTGGGCTTCTTTGGCATCATAAGAAACATTTCTTCTGTCTCTTTGAGAATTCTCCCTCCTCCTCTTCACCTTTTCTTTGTGGAGATTCCCAGGGATCAATCCTCAATGCCTTTATTTCCTTAATATCTACAATAGTCTAGATAATTTTATACAGGACCAAAATCTTTACAGTCAGTCTTCACCATAGATCTTCAGACCTATACATTCAACTGTTTCTTTGATGTCTTTATTTGGATGTTTAATATGCATCTTAAACTAACAAGACTAAACAAGAATACTTATTTTCCTTCCCACTCAAAATCTGTTTCTCTCTTGTTGTTTCCCACCGTAATAAATCAGCTACTCGAACTACTTGTTTGTGTAAGGTAAAAATCTAGGATTCATTGGTGACTCATATCTGAACACACCCCAATCTAAATGATCACTGTGACCTCTCAGCCCTGTGTTAAAGCAACCTGAACACACCTGCTTGTTTCTGTCTCTATTTAGCCATCCTGGTCCATGTCATCATCATCATTCTCTGGACTACTGTAGTAACCTTCCAGTTGGTCACCACACTTAAACGTTCTAACTCTCTTATCATACCTTCTTTAGGAGTTGCCAGAATGATCTTTTAAATCTGTAAATAAAGTCAAGCCATTTTCCTATTCAAAGCTTTACAATAATTTTCATTCCATTTAGAAAAAATTCTGACATCTAATCCTGGCTTAATATTCTCTGCATGATTCAACCCTCTCCAACATTCTAGCTCCATCTCATCCCATTCTGCTCTTTTCACTTTGCTATGAACACACTGCTCTTCATTCATTTTTTTGAACATGTTAACTCAGTTTTGTCCTAAAGTTTTGTGCCTACTGTTTCTTCTGTCTAGAAAACTCTTGGCCAGGTGGAATGGCTCACGCCTCTAATCCAGCACTTTTAGAGGGCAAGGAGTAGGATCACTTGAGGCCAGGAGTTTGAGAATAGCCTCGCTAACATGGCAAAACCCTGCCTCTACTAAAAATACAAAAAATTAGTTGGGCATGGAATTGCCTAAACCCGGGAGTTGGAGGCAACAATGAGCCAAGATTGCACCACTGCACTCTAGCCTGGATAACATAGGAAGGCTCTGTCAAAAAAAAAGAACACTCTTGCTATTCTATTGTTCTTTATATAGTTTTCTTCTGTCATTCAAATTTTACCTGCCTGCCAAGGCTTTCCTTAAGTGCCATTTCAAAAAGTAGCCACTTAGTCATTTGCTATCACAACATTCTATATACCACCTACCATTATCACATATTTCTCTGCATATCACCTATCATTTTAATACTCTGCACAACACCTATTATCACCTATATGTGTTTGTTAGCCAATATTGATTTATCATCTCCAAACTCACCAAAATACTAACTTCATCAGATCATGGGGTTTGCCTGTCTTGTTCACTGAAATATTTCCAACACCTAGTACTGGGTTCTAAACAGTAGAAACTCAAAAATAATTGTCAGATAAAGGATTTAGCAGTTGCATTGGGAATCAAGTTTGAATGAGTGAAGCTTATTTGCAAAATAGTACTAATACATAAGTAGTAGAAGAAGGTTCCATGTCTTTTCCTCAAATTTTAAAATGGTTAGTAAGATCAATGAGCAAGATTAAAAAGTTTCTTTAACAAAGACACCAATTTCTAGGGTAGAGAAGGACCTTATAAAGTATTTGATGTTGTCTTAAGAGGTACTAGAGAAGCCAAATCTCTCTTTCAACTATTTCTCCCTAGAGAAATAAGCCAACAATCAAAGAGGAAACCATAGCAAAAAAGCAAGACATTCAATTACCCATTGTATAAACTAACAGATACCTGAATATTATAATAATATTGTAGGCACAGATTTGCCTTACTCTTGTACTACTATATAATAGAAATTTAATTTTTTCTTTCCTTGGTTTTTTACTTTGAAATTGTTTTGTTCTCTCACAGAAGTAGTTTAGGATTCATTTAGGAGTGGGAGTGGGAAGTGAGAGGGACAACATTTCATTATTTAAGAAATATTAAAGACTTTCTAAGGAGCTTAAAATCTAATAAAAGATATAAAACATGAACATAATATTTATGTGCTAGACAATTACAAGTATTATATTATCAGTACCAAGTAAATGCTGAGAAACTTCAGAAGGGAGAAAAATTACATCCCAATGAAAAATCAGTAGGTTCATGTATTGGCAAAATCAAGAAAGCTTGGTTTTGAAGTACACGCAGAATTTTACCATGTTTCAGATAGGGGAAGAAAGATATTTCAAGGAAAAATGACTATCACAGCGTACGTGTACTATTTTAAGTAAGTCATTTCAGGCCAGGTGCAGTGGCTCACACCTGTAATCCCAACACTTTTGAGGCCAAGGTAGGTGGATCACTTGAGGCCAGAAGTTCCACACTAACCTGGTCAACATGGCAAAACCCTGTCCCTATACAGAATACAAAAACTAGCCAGGCACAGTAGCAGGCACCTGTAATCCCAACTACTCGGGAGGCTGAGGCATGAAAATTGCTGGAACCCAGGAGGCGGAGTTTGCAGTGAGCTGAGACTGGGCCACTGCACTCCAGCCTGGAGACTCCAGCAAGACTCTATCTGGAATGAATGAATGAATCGTTTAATTTCAACAAGACACAGGAACCAAAAAAGGAATGGTAGTTTTAGGTCTTAAAATATAGAGGATATACTATACTCAAATAAGGAAAAGAAATGTTCTGAAGTTCTCTATAGCATGTAAAACAACTGAATATCCAGTTTTTGTTAAAAACTTGTTCTCCTATCGCCTATGCTTTGTCTTATTTTGTGCCTTTTTCAATTTTTCATGTTTTGCTTCTCTTCTTCTCCTGTCCTAGGGAGTAAAATAAATAAGAAGCCCATCTGAGCATCATTAGGACAGGGTATTCAGCAAATGCTTTGGGACAAGGCTCCACTGCTTTAGGTCTTAGGGAACTCTGAGTCATCCTTTCAGATTAAAATCTACAGATTCTTGATTCAGTTTTCTGCTGCCAACTTTCTGGTGGGTAGTTTCCGTGTGACAATGCTGATCCCTGTATCTGCAGATTGCCATAATTGTCAGTCATACTTTGCCTTTTCAGCAATCAAAAATGTGCACCACGATCTGGCACCAACCATCACCTCCACTTTGAAATCTCACTTGTATCTTCTAGGTATACACCATACAAATCACCAGCAAGAAATTACAGAGCCTGGATTATAAAGATAGAACTTTATGAAATTGAATCTAGCCTTCTCACTTAGGATGTAAGGGACCTTAGGCAAGTTTTTTAACATTGTTAATTCTAAATTGCTTTATATGTAAAATCGCAATCATCATACTCACCTTTTAAAGAACTAACTCTGTGAAGTCACAACCACAACTGTTTTTGCTTTAATGCACAAATATTCCAAAGATCAATGACAGAAGGTGTATAAAACACTGGGTACGTACTAGGAACTTAATAGATATTAGCACCTCCTTGCTTTAGATTTTTCAGTCCTTTCTTCTAGAAAGCTTACTTCACATTTCAATCTGTCTTTTACCCTTATTTTTATATTCAACCTCCATATATTCTAAAATATTTTTGAATGACCAATTAAAAAAGTTTTATTGCCACTAATTTCTCCATTTTCCAAATTCCCTACGAATTTTATCTGAAACTCTTTAATAATAGCTTCTTTTCTCTGCCTTAGTTATGGTAGCACAGATACATAGTCTCTCTCTTATTATGTGTTGAAATCCAATTTCGATTTTGTATCCTCACAGCATCAAATATGCTATTTTTTCAAGTAACACATTTTGTATATACACATGTTGAATCACTCTTTTTGAATGATTCTTTTTGATGTTAAGCTGCTGTGAAATAATTTAGACTGTGCAAAATCTGTAAAATTATATCTAGTAATTTACCTAATAAAGTATATATTTTGCTATGGACAACTAGATATTACAGTGCTAAAACATGAATTTTCTTAGTTTCTTGTTAACATATTTACATTATTCAAACTGCCTAAAATCTGTTCAAGATCATCAATCCAAAAGAATAGTAATTTGCACATTTGATAAAAGCTCCCATAAGGAAAATAAATAATATTTTGCTCTAAGGTCAAAGTTACAGTTTGATAATAAACAAAATACTAAAAATTATGCATTTTGGTATTGTATTGGCTTTTTGTGAATTTAAGGAATTTGACTAATGCCTTCTAGACGAATTCTATAAAAGTAAAATCCTTATGTTGCAGTTTATTATTTGAAGATTTATTTAATAGAACTAAGGAAATGATTCAAGTAAATTTAGAAGCAAAATAAAATCACATACAAAATCTATTGGCTGTTAAATACTTAAAGTACAACTTAGAAAAAATATTTTAAAAGTTTCAGTTGGAAAAATCCTAGTTATATAATTATTTATTCCTCCTGAAATTTAAAATTAAATATATAATAAAGGCTGACCGGGATATTTCTCTGTCTTTGGCAACATCTTTTAACTTGACTCTGCTGGCTTATTGTTTACTAGATTTATCTTAAAGATATTTTTCAAAGTATCCTGTATGTTCTCCACCTAATTGGCAGGTCCATGACACTTGTAATTGGCTCTAAAAATGCTTATAGTAGCCAAAATGCATTAGTAGTATTGTTTAATTTTACTTTTTGTTTTAAATAGAATAAAATGTAGAAAACAACTTCGTCAATTGATTAGACATTCCATAGCAATCTTACATTTTCTTCAACATTTTTTCCTATTTTCTTGGAAATGTATGACTATGTTTGCTTCATCAACCTCTCCACTATTTGTGGACACTGAGGACCCCCCCAGAATGAATTTTATCATTACCTCTACCTTTGCTGTCAATAAATGATCTCTTCCATCTCTGACCTCTTGCCTTTCCTACAGTTGAAAAGTGTTGTTTCATTTCTCTTCATCATCTACACAATTTTCTCTTTATTTGCCAGATTTCCTTTATCATGTTGTACTCCCTTGACTTCATTTTATAATATTCCCCATCCTGTTTTGAGTCTCATGCAACTTACCCTGCATATTGCTCTTCTTTATTTCTGATTATTTTTGCATTTTCTTGTTCATACTAATTGGCTCCATTTTTATTTCCAGTATATTTATAATGAAATGGCATTCATTGCCTTTGGGCATACATTAATTTATCTTTGAGGATTTTCCATTTACTCTCTGTGTCTTTTCTTTATTTCTTCTTGCAACCACCATTTCACTTCACTTTTCTTATACATATTGGTGTATTATTTTTGTTGTTGCTTTTTAAATATGCCTTCATATCTGTAATTCATGCTTCATGTGGTATTAGGAGGGTTTATAAAATAAACCACTGTGTATTTGTCACAAACAGCATTAATTTGAACAGTCTAAAAATAGGCTTGGATTCACTGTACTGCAGTTTTCCAGCCACCTTCTTTACAGCCATATTATAAGACTTAACTAAATTAATAATTAGAAGCTAATTTTACAAATTAAAAGGACCACAGATATTATAATTTATTGACCTGAGGTCAGAAAAGGGTACTTTATTGGAAGATTAATGGACAAATGTAAAACTCATTTCAGGAGAGATATGTTTAGACCTTTGGAGGTATTTAACTGATAAGAAAGTGGTGCATATATGCTAAAATCATTAACCTTCATATTTTCTATGCCTTCGTGCATATAATAAAGGAGACATTTAAAATCAGATATTGCTTCAAGAAAATCCTTGAGAAGCACAAATTCAAGGCAAATAAAAATGTACCAAATAAATTACAGTCCAATGTGGAAAATATTGCATGTTAAATAACAGTATACTTAGTTTGTGATTGGAGTAAAGAAATATTAAGAGGGTCTTAGAAAACTTTCTAGAGCAAATAACATTTCAGCTGAGTATCAAAGAATCATACACACATTGCCACATTGCCACGGGGAGATAAGGGACAGTGTTCAGAGATGTTGTTCCACCTTATTATCGAAAAGGAGACTTAAGAAGTGAGGCAGGAAGAAAAATAAAATATAAGCATGTCTTTTACTGAGACATTTGGAATTTTCCTGTAGTTGAATGGGAGTCATTGGAGAGTTTAAGCAAAGAAGTGACATGATCAGATTTGATTTTGTAATAAGAACTCTAGTAGACATGAATAACCTGGACTGCAAGCACCACAGCCACTTAGAGTGGTAAAATAATAATATCGAGATGGAATGAGGGCACAAACTAAGGCAGAATCTGAAGGAATAATTAGAAGATATGTGAGCGTCATTAAAAGGTTCAGTCAAGAGAACTTGAGAACACTTAAGTGGGGGCAGGAGAAAGCAAGTGAGAAGCAAGTGGAAAGCAATTTTTCCATAGGATTCAAAACCACCCACTTAATTTCAAGTAGAAAAATAGAGCTTTGATATGGCTGTCTATTAAGTTTAATTTCATCCAGATACATTTTTCAGTTTGCATTGACTATTAGATCACTACTACCTTATGACAGTAGTTAATGAATTATGATTAACAGTTGAATAAATTAAATGTATAGTCAACAGAGAAAATAAAAATAACTTAATATTGGGATAATACTTTATTGCATAAATGAATAGTAACACATTCAGACTTCCCAATGTGCAGCAAGGGAGCTCAAAGAACAATAAAAAATTATTACACAGACATTCATGCAAAATGAACACTGATGATAGTAAATTCTAAAAATGGCAGAATTTAATTTTAAATGCAATTTCCACATTTGCATACTATGTAAGAAAACATCTTATAACTATGTTCATGGTATATTGTTCATCTCATTTCCATAATCTAATTCAGTGATACTTATGCTCTTCAAATAGCGTTCACTGATCATATTTTATCTCTTTTTTATCTTAAATTGAGGTTTTGTGAACTACAGACCACATCAGAGAAAGACTGTAAATATCATAAATATAATGCCAATTTTCCCTTAAAATGGCAAATTATATAAAATTTGTTATTTGCTTTTTTATTACAAGGACTAAAAGCAGACAAACCTTTTAGCTTAAAAGTGGATTAGAATACCTTTTGATGACATAGCATTTAATTTTTTAATTCCTCAATTTATTAAAAGATTATAAATTTGAAAAGGTAATCATGTGTAATATAGAGCTGTTGATTTTAAACAGACTTCAGTTTAATCAACTTTCTTATCCAAACTTCCAAAGTTTCCAAGATAATTGCAGGTTGAATTTGCCATAGATAATGCAAGCATTTGGGCCATAGATATACTATCTATTCAAGCTATGTAATCCCTTGTGATATACTGAGACGATTTTAGTGCAAGGTAGTCTACCAGGCACTTTGTAGAATATTTTATGTCACACAGCAACATTTCAGAGAACACAGTCTTCTTTTTCTTCTTCTTTTCCTCTCTCTCCTTCTTTTTCCTCCTACTGTAATATCAATTTATTTATCAGAAACTAAATTTCCAA